CAGGAGAACAGCTCCCTGATGATGATGAAAATGTCAGTGATGATACAGAAACCAGCCAGGAGAATCAACAGCAGAGAAGGTCTGACAGACCTAGAAGAACTCCTACATACTTGAAAGATTACATCCACCAGGTGAATCAATCCTCATCTATTCAAAACTGCTTTAAAACACCCTATCCTATCTCTGATGTATTATGTTGTGATAATCTTTCAGAGAAACATTTGAGATACACTATGGCAGTCACTGGAAACAAGGAACCCACATCATACAATGATGCGAAAAGGATGAATGAATGGGTAGAGGCCATGCAAAGGGAAATTAAAGCTCTGCAAGACAATGATACATGGGTTCTAACTCAACTGCCCCCAGGGAAAAATACAATAGGCTGCAAGTGGGTGTACAAAACAAAGTACAAAGCAGATGGCAGTATTGAGAGATACAAAGCCCGTTTAGTGGCTAAAGGTTATACGCAACAAGAGGGCATAGATTATCTGGAAACATTTTCCCCTGTGGCCAAACTCACCACGGTCAGATTACTTATAGCTCTAGCAGCTTCCAACAGTTGGTTTATACATCAACTGGATGTAGACAATGCCTTTCTACACGGAGACCTTAATGAAGAGGTCTACATGGAACCACCCCCAGGACTAAACACATACAATGAAGGACAGGTTTGTAGGTTAACCAAGTCATTATATGGCTTAAAACAAGCCAGCAGGCAGTGGTTTGAAAAACTTTCTTCCTTCCTGATAACTGCCAAGTTTGTTCAATCTAAATCAGATCACTCTTTATTTACTAAGAAAACACCTACTAGCTTTACTGCCCTTCTTGTGTATGTAGACGATATTGTGTTAACAGGGAATTCCATGATGGAGATCAACCACATAAAGGAACTTCTCCATAACAAGTTCCGAATAAAGAACCTAGGAGAACTCAAATACTTCCTAGGATTGGAAGTAGCTAGATCTAAAAGAGGGATCCACCTATGCCAAAGGAAATACGCTCTAGATATACTGGAAGACACAGGAATGTTGGGTTGTAAGCCTTCATCTACTCCATTTCTTAGTGAAACAAGTTCCTTATACAAATTGGACAGCTATCTAGATGATCCGGGCCCTTACAGAAGGCTAATAGGGAAGTTATTATACTTCACAAACACTAGACCTGACCTGTGCTTTTCTGTTAATTTGCTCAGTCAATTTGTTCAATCACCTACTGATTACCACTTTCGGGCCATCCAACATATTCTCAGGTACATCAAATCTAAGCCATCTGAGGGGTTGTTTTTCCATGCTGACTCTCCTATGCAACTAAAGGCATTCAGTGATTCAGAATGGGCCACATGTCCCAACACCAGAAGATCCACAACAGGATTCTGCATCTTTCTTGGATCTTCTCTCATTTCATGGAAATCTAAGAAGTAGAGAACTGTCTCCAGATCATCTACTGAGGCTGAATATAGAGCACTTGTAGCCACTGTATGCGAGATACAGTGACTCAGTTATCTACTACATGACCTTCAAGTAGAAGAGTCAGGAATCCCAGCCCTATATTGCGACAACAAATCAGCCAGACACATTGCTCACAATCAGAGCTTTCATGAACGGACCAAGCATATTGAGCTTGACTGTCATGTGGTTCGTGAAAAGGTACAGGAACAACTCCTCAATCTTCTTCCCGTGCGCTCCGACGAACAGTTAGCTGATATCTTCACAAAGTTTCCTCACCGTGTCAGATTCAGATCGATTATTCCCAAGCTTGGACTGACGAACATCCATCGTCCAGCTTGAGGGGAGGCTATTAGGATTGAAACTAATTCATTACTGTCATAAAGACAGTAACCTTTTCTGTTATACTAGGTTTCACTGTTAGTGGTTAGTTGTTAGTTTGACAGAGCTCTATAAATAGAGCTCTCCCCTTTGTCTTTTTTTTTCATGATTTTCAACATACAGAAAGAAGATCATTATGCTTTTGTAGAACTATCAAAGTAATCACAGAATAATAAAAGAAGGTATTTTTCTTACCTCTTACGTTGTGCACGTTTCTTTTCCCTTCTACACTGTCGTCCATAGCTGTCTCTGCGACGATCAGCCACGCGGAAGCCATCGTTGCTTCTGCCTCTACCGGAACCTTCAAGAAGCTCTGTTCTCTCTCTTCTCACTCTCATATCGCGCACATAATACTGCTTGCGTGGCATCAGTGGTTTATTCTAAACCCCGTAAGCGGCAAACTGATATGGGATGGGCCACATACCAAACGCAACAGTGCTGGGCCAGTTCTATTAATATATATAAAAACTCATTTTTAGGTGTTTCAGGTGTACAATGGATGATTTCCACAAAACACTCTCACACTTTTCTCCAAATCAGCTTAGGTAGCTTGTAACCAAAGACACTCTCACCTTGAAATTAGTGATTAATCCGAAAAAATCTTAAGCTCGTAATAAATGTAATTACCTAGCTTCTTACCTTTAATCTCTATTTATAGGTTTTGAGATGGACTTATGATTAGTGGAATCCTAATTATGACACTAAATAATGCTTACTAGTAATTTTGATTAGAAGTAATGTTTATGGATTTTTATTGTTGGAAGTTGTTCCGTTTCTTTGTTTCTACTTCCATAACCATGTTGTAAACTAATATTGACCGGATAGTACCTAATATTGTTCGCAGTCCATTTTGACCAATTGTCCATATTGTCTCTAATAGATCGTTCTATGAATATGTATCATCGTACAATTCATTATATTTTTTATCATTACTAAGAATTTTATGGTATGTGTGTTTGGGAATGCAATATAAACCATAAATGGCGGTGGAAGCGTGGTTTTAGAGTTTGACAAATTAGGGCGTGTTTGGACGAAGGCAAAAAATCATTAATAGTGAGTGGACTGAAGAAGCGAATAAAGAATTGGACGTATGGAGAATTGTATGAGGGTTATTGAGTAGAGAAAGCTGGAAGGTTAATTGATGTACCTAATTTGTTTGTCGAAAAGAACTGGTAATAAATGTTACACTTTTTTTTAATGATTTGGAAATAAAAATGAAATGTGTTGAAATTGGATGTTCAACTTTCTTCTTCAAATAAATGTTTTCAACCATCAAATGAATTGCTTGCTTCAACGGTAATCTAAGAAACCGGATTTGTGGTTCAAACCAAACAACACATTTAAGCTTTCTTAACGTGAAAATCATCATTCCACGTTCATACGCTGCCAAATACTTTTCTTTTTCTCTCTTTTATTTTATTGCCAAAACTCAAAATGAAAACTTTAATATTCTTTTTTACTTTTAGTCAATAATTAAATTAAATATAACTTTTTTTTCTTGTGTTTGGTATCGATGAACTGTGGAGAATATACAGAAAATGTGAGGAAATTAAGAGAAAAGATAAAACTGCATTGTTTAGAATGAATGAAAATGAATTTTCTATATAGCGTATTAGGATTTATTTTTTAATTAAAAATAATGTAGATTTATTAATAATTCCTTAATCAACGTCGGTTATTTATTAGCATTTGGCATTATTAATAAAAGAAATAGAAGGATTGTGGGTCCCACATAAAAAATGTCACTGCTGAAAAGATGGAAAATGTAGAAGTTGGAAATGGTCACCAAAGACTAAACTTGTGAGAAATGAGTGTCGTTTTTATTCAGGTTCTTTTAAATTTCTTATTTTAAAAAAGTTTAGTTTAAAAATAAAAAATAAATATACTTTTAGTTTCTAAATTTAAATTTAGATACAGAAACAAAATGTATTTTCATTTAAAATTTGGATATATTTTAATTTCTAAATTTAGAAATTGAATGAATATTTTCATCTCAATCTAACTGTACTGATTTTTCATCTTATATTAGATATTTTAGTTTAAATATAAACAATTCAAAAATTAGTCTAAAATATAGTTTAATTCGTTCAAAGAATTTAATGCAGTTGTTTTAGAAATACGAATTTTCAAAGTTTAAGAATAAAATTATATCAAATTTAAAATAGAAAATTTTACGTTACAGGTTAAAGATTAAACCATTTAACCTAAAACTAAACATATGTAAAACTATCATGACATATTATCAAAAAATTTAGCTGGTTTTACTTTTGAAGTAATTATTGTAAAGGTTAATATCTTTGGTTTGAGATTATATATGTAAGATTTACTTATAACCTTTTTTTTTAAAATTACTTCGTTTCTCTCTTTTTTATTGGTTTACCTCTCATCAAATGAACCTTGATGAAAACTTTATTAAGAATGAGCCACTATATACATGACAACTTTTTTATTTTGGAAAACAATAAGTCTTTTATAAGCTAAATCTGGGAAAGTATAATTCCTACACATTTAAAATTGACTACGATATGTGATTTCTAAACAGTTTACGTGCTTAGCTTTCTTCCACAAATTTATAGGTAAACATTCTAGAACATAAAGTAGCTTAAAATTGAAATGAAACTTTCGTCACAATAAAATATTTTCCATTTGTGACGATGATAAAAATAAATTTGTAAAACATTGTGTAAAAAAGTATGCTGTCTTAAGATTAAGTAGATATATAAAAACAACAGATTACGTACACATGTAAACGTAATGTAAAGCAGAAGATGCCACGTCATTTAAATATGACGACATAAGAAAACGATGACTCAGGCTCCTTCTCTCTTCAATTTTATGAGTCATTTATTAAAATTAACAAAGAGCTAAACGTGATGATAGAAGTTTAATATAGCAGAAAATAAGATGCTATAATAACATTAGAAACTAGTCAGAGACATATCAACAGAAACAAATGTTACATTTTACACATTCATATTTATGTATAAAAAAAATTATATATACCTTCAACTAACAACAATTGATACAGTACAAGCTGAGAAAAGTTTGAACATCAGCAGCAACTGAACAATCCACTAAAACAAATTATATCCATCAAACACATCTTACTAACACAAATAAACCCCCCAGGTAGCTGGCTGGATTCACAGCAGGAACTACACATTTTGGCTTTCTTGGTGTCATCTCTGGAAGCTGAATAGACCACAAATCTTTTAAATTTTGGTCCTTTCTGATAAAAATTATTCCCTATATTTTACAAACACGCAAGTTTAATCATTATAATACGGTTTCCTGTTGTTTTCAAAGAACTAGTTCGCCTGAATAAAGGAATAGATATTCAACAAAAACTATATAAGATCCAAACAAAACACTACTATAAGAAACAAAATCTCATTAAATATACTTAAACAACAACTTGCTTTGCAGTTTACAGTTGTCTGCTCATTAGTAGGGGCACAAAATTTTAAGACACGTAAAGTTCATTAAAAATTTTGAATCTCAGACTGAAGTAATAAATCACTTAAAAAATAGTTTATTGGTTTTAATCCACAATGCACATTAAAACAATTTTACACTATCAATGAACTATAAAATGCAACCTTTTAGAATAATGGGGATAAAAACTTTTACAGAAAGATCTTAATTATTACAATGGACTAGATATTCCTTGTTTACTGGAAAATTTTACAATTTGAATTGACCCAATTCATATGGAAAATACTTACGCTGACTGTTGGGTGCCAGTCTGTTGTATCAACTGAGAGTAAATATATTCATCAACTCTCTGTTTTGCCAAAGCTACCTGTTCACAAAATTCAAGCTTCAACAAAAAAACTGTAACAGCTTAAAACCAAGAAAAAGGTAGAAAGAGCAAGCGACAGTTTAATTCCATAGTAGGACTTGCATGCTATATAAAATATCGGATTAAATTACTATCTTGATCTGAGCTGATATCAATTTTTGTTTCGGGGAAGATCCCAGACCAGGAAAAAGGAGGCCATGGGCAAATAGAGAAGTTCCCATATTTTGAATTGTTTTGTCTGACGGGTAGCACAGACAGACCTTTCCAAAGTGTTCAGTGTTTCAACAAGGATTACTCATCAAGGACAGGACGAAGCCTAGCATCGTGTTGTTTTATCTCAAGAAGCTTCGACTGCACAACCAAAGATTATATCCAACGCCAAGCACTCTCCCTCCCCCCCAACTGATGACCAGTGCCACTGGATATCTCTCCCACTTTCACAAAAAGAAATAAACAATCCGTAGTATTTCATGGATGTAAGAGACTGGAAATATAGAATAGCTAACTGTGTGATTATTTTTATTCAATGAATGATGAATGATTCTTCTAAGATATACATCACTTGATGGGACCAGAACTAAAACCATGATGGGCTTGGCTACAGAAGTACAGGCAAAATTTGTACAAATTGGTTTAATAGTAGACTGTTGAATCTAAAATCATTTCCCACAGCTAGGGCAAAAAACTCCAAACCAGTGGCAAAGTGATAAAATCCACCAATCAAACTGATAAATAAAAAAAAAAGTGATAATAATAACAAAAACATGTCTCAAACATAAAAAGTATACTGTTCTTTCTTTCGAAACATTAAAAGGCAAAGATCACCTGTTGAGCACTACCACCAAATTGAATTTGTCTATGCTTTTGTTCACCCTTACCGCCATAAACCTGCACAACATTTTCCAATGAAAGATATAAATCAGATGCAAATTAGTTCCGGGAATTTATATAGAACAAAAAAACAATTTATGAACCACAATTTAATATACATTAAAATAACCCAAACTCCTAGATATTTCAAAAATATAAGTATCTTAACAAAATTTGACTTCTCAATATGTTGGAAACGGATCAAGTAAACAAGTACACAAACTACATGCTGTTCAATAAAAATTTAATGTAGTTGGAAATTCGAGGGTTTCCATACTAATTCAAGAAATGTAGAATGCTCAATTCTCTTGGTATTTTGGTAACTAATGTATTTGGTCAAGCTAATGAGAGATCCAAAAATCATTGTCTGACAAATAAGGTAAACCACAAAACTCAGGCCTGGCATCTATTTTGGTATCTTTGGCAATATCCAACAATTGTAAGTCTTCTGTAGTTCTATATGCAAATGTGAGATCCAGGGGTTCTGTTTTAATGCAGAGACTGGTATAATAACTAATAAACATGAATCAGAAAGTGAATTCTTTCGTAGGATGCTTCAAGATAGGAGGAAGTATAAGACTGACCTTGATCATTGCTCCAGATTCATTTCTGATCCTCGATATGTTTGAGCCACATCGGCCAATCAACCCACCAACCATCGTTTCCGAAATCAGCATCTCGAATGTAACATAATCAACTGCAAGATTGGTTGTCCTAGAGATGAAGTGATTGTAAGACAATATTCAAAACAGATATAACTATTAAATGGCAGTCAAATGTTGCTCTAATATAGAAAAACATTAAATAACCTGAAGTTGGGTCAAGATATGGTTGGGATGGTCGAATTGCAGCATAATTGTATGTTGGACTAATTGAAATCACTTGTCTTGGTGGGTTTTCCCTGTGCACAATTTGAGTTCATATATAGGTTAGGCAAAATGACAAACTAATTTTCAACAGTAATTAGAATCAGGTTCAAAATTAATATACAACAGAAGTTCACCAGCACACCTTAGTTGACAACCTATCTCGTCCAAAGCCTTCATTACCGAAGGAAGATCTCCTGATAACTAATTTCAACAAGAGTGAAGATTACAATCCAGGTTTCCAAAGTATTTTTGAAGCAGCATAAAAAAATGCATAATTCAATCCTCAAATCATCTTCATGCTACTTGATACATGTGAATAGAATTTAGAACTATGACTTAAACATGAACATATTAAAACCTGATACACAGAAGAGCAGGTCATTCAACATCATGCAAGCATTATCTTCGGAAAATTAATAACAAATAATAACATTCATATTATGTTGGTCCATCTGTAATCTTAACAGTACATGAAATTTCAAAGAACAAACTAAAATTCCTTGCCATCATGGTTAAAATATCCAAGTCAAAATATATGGTGAAGGCAAAGTGACACTGAGTCACTGATAAAAGTGTTCCCGAAAACCAAAATTCTTTGTTGCAAGAATTGATAAGCATTATTTTAGACATATCACCTGCACTACTCTGTCAGATTCGTGGGCAGAAGCACATAAAGGTAACTGATTTGGTGCAAGAACAGTAATCGAGGCACCGGAAGAGTCCCTCAATTTCTCAATGTTTTGACCAGACATCCCAATTAATCCACCTGCCTGGGACCCAGCAATCAAAAGTCTAATTGTATTGGCAGCCACATGTCCTGCTGCAACTTTTGACAAATCAAGACTGCTATCATCTTCCTGTTATATGGAAGCATTATCAGCGCCTCTCAATAGCATTGACAAAATGAAGTAAGACCCAACAGGGCTACATGAATATTAACATAATACATGATAATCTCAAAAGTGGAAAAAACTAAAGTGGCCAAATACGTATCAGAAGTACAGGATATGCAGGGCAAGACCCCTAACTGAGTTTATAATTATCAAGCATAACAACGTGTTTTAAATCATGATGCACGGATGCAGGACATGTATTGTTTTCAAAATAATACCATACAGGGGGGTGCAGCAATTTATACTAACGATATAGCATATAGGCATATACAGTGACAAGGTATATAAAAATATCATGTTACATTAACTCACTACAAAAATAAATGAATATTTGGCTTGGCGTGTTAAAGTATTTTACAGATAAAGCATTCAGTGTTCTTCTGTATATTTTGTTGAATACCTTCCAAGGATGCTCCAGAACAATGTTACATATTTCAACTTCTTTCTATGTGTTCAAACATCTGCAAAAATGTTCCAATTTTTTTCTAAAACTAAAAGGGATAGCGGCACGGGTAAATTCGAGTTACACAATTCAAGCCTTAGTAATTCAATTTTCAAAGCTAGACAAACAATAAACCATATTATTTTAAAATAAAAATTAAACAGCGCCCACCCTGGTTTTTATAATAAATTATGAAACACAATAAGAACATAATCAGCAATAAAAATCATAACAAAATTCAAAGCTCTAGTCAGATCAAGCATATTACAGAGAAAGCATGTGAGCCAAAAAATTCAATCAGGACCATCTTACCTTTAAAATTAAATGTGCTATTTGCTCAAGAGCTTTCTCTGCATCAGTAACCTTTTCATCATTATCCTTAGAACTAATAATGATAACTCGCTCTTCATGTCTCTGCCCGAAAGGAAAACATTAGATTGGATTTGGTAAAACACCAATTAACCTGAATAATGACTGAACATATTTATTTTAAATGCAAATTTAAGCACTTCAACCAATATACATTAACCCTCACTAATAATCGGCAAACCTGAATGAAGTTTATAGCATTTAACACAGCTGAAAATACAATGTTCAGATAAGATATGGATTTTTTTTTGGATCCTTGAAGGAAAGACTAGTGTGGGGAAAATAATTTACATATCACCTATGCCTTTAACATGGTGGTTTCTGCTGAAAATAATAAATAATAATACAAAAAGCACTTTCCCTTTTAGAATCGTGACAAAAACAGTTTTGACAAGAGCAAACAAAGGCCTGGCATCCCCGGCGAGAAATAATTGACAGTACTGTCAGGGTCAAACAAAGTCCTTACCAGAAAATGTAGAGTTATTCAGTATGCTATAATGCAATAAACAGACTTCAATTAACCACTGACAAAAAGATACTAAAAAAACAGCCGCGGGCAGCTGACTGTGGAGCTTGTGATTGACGCAAAGAACACAGTTGAGGGTAAAGAACACATCTAGGGGCAAGAGTCGATCAACTTTGAAATGCATAATTGTATTTACGAATTACAAGACTACAATATTTTTATATAAAAACTTGTGTTTGTACGTACGATAATTTTCTTAATAAAATAAGGAGGTGGGGCAAGGCCACACTTGCTCCCTTCATACCATCCCTAGTTGACTCTGCCTGCGTAATGCAGAGCTACAAAATCTCCATGGTTGTTGAATGACTTGTAAAACATGGAAACAATATTTATTTGGGTAACAGCTTTTTTTTATTCTTTTTATGTTTTCCTAAATATAAGAATAATTGTAAATATCTTTAAGAAATCTTAAAACTTAGAGAATTTTGATTTGGGACCTAATGTGTTTTTCTTCTACATGATTCCTGATTTATTGGGATTCATTTAGCTGGTACATTTATTGCTTTGAGTGATGACGTAGCATAAACTGACAAGTGACAGTGTAGCATAAAACAGACTATTATAGCAAGTGGTTGTGATTTGTTTTCTATCCAATATCCAATCCATTACATAACAGAAAATATATAATGAGAGACTAAAATATATTTCAATAAAATATAGTTTGAGTAGAATAAAAACTATAGGATTTAAAATAAAAATTGTAGTTTTTAAGTGAATAAAAACCATTGCAACCTTCCAATTTTATATGACCTTTCCAACAAGAGGAGTTGCACTAGCAATACACTACTGATGATAGAGTCACCAAAGAATTACTCGAGACCAAATTTCTAAACGGCAAGTTGATTGTGATGGTTATCAATGGCACAGTTAGAATGAGGGTTTGACTAGGATTTCTACCTTTTTTTTAAAACAGATCAGAGTACAGGATGCTATGAATAGGGCAAGATTTTTCATTGTTTTTCTAGTAGGAACAGTGACACTTTATAAAGATTCCGAACCAAGAAGGAGGAAAGGGTGAGGGTGAAGTGTATGTAACAGTTACATAGTAGTTATCATTTTGAAAATAAAACTCCAGTGCAATAATCATTATATCGTTGTAGGCTTTGCAGTCAAGAGTGGACATACATCAAATTTTAAAATACAAGGCAGCATCACACTTCAAACTTTCGTGAAAAGATTTGTAGCTGAGATATCAACTGCCTCAGATTACAATCCAACCAAAGGGTAGAATGTTTCATCCACACACCAAGCAACGCCCGTTTGTTACAACAACTGAATAGCAACTAAAAATGAAGAAGCAATTTCGCCTATCACAGTACCACTATCTTAATTCAGAAATTTAACTCCTAACAAGCTCCAAAAAAATTATATACTGAAAATACCTCTACCCAAAGTAGTCATCCCGTTTTTTTCTCTCAGCGTAGTAAATTTTTTCCGCATATCAATCAAGTTGAACATTCCAGCCCTTCCCTCCTACACTTTTGCAGTGAAATGCGTAAAAGGTCCGTCAATGGCAGTGTAATGGCTTTCCATACACACCCTAAATGGATGCCAGAAACAAAAAAAAAAAGCACTAATGTACCACAAACCCCAAATCAGATGCAAGAATTAGTGTATTGTTGTATTATTATAATACAACAATTCAATTCAGAAGAACAGTTTTGTTTTCTTTTTTACTCAAGCAGTTTCTCAGCCATCAAACATACACCATAAAATGAAAACATCAACAAGCCCCAAATAAAACACTAACAACTCATATAAACAAGTATTGTGGTATTCAATTAGTATTGTCAGGTTTTCAAAGGAGGGTAACAAAACTCTCTTTGTTGAAGACAGTATAGACTCTCTTAATAACTTCTATTGCGAAGAATGTTGTTTTCATGAGTTTTCAATTGACCCAATAAACTAATTGTAATCTTCAATATTACTATATAACAAAATATCCTAATTTTGTTCAAACTCAGGAACCGACACGAAAAGATGTTAAGGCATGTAGAGCAAGTATTGGTGAACGTTGAAAGCTAAAACCATTTAGCTATGAAAAAATGTATTGATTTTACTTTCTTCTCGAAAACTTTATATTTTCTTATCAACTATGGTAATTTCGAAACCATATAGTTCTACAGATATAAATCCATTAAAGTTCAAACTAAAAAAATCGTACACTGTCTATTAAAATCCACAAAACTCCTTAGTACAGAAATAGGCTATTAAAATTTCAATTCAACTCACTCTCGTAGATCAGTTCTACCGAATATGTGGATTTACNAAAGGAATAGATATTCAACAAAAACTATATAAGATCCAAACAAAACACTACTATAAGAAACAAAATCTCATTAAATATACTTAAACAACAACTTGCTTTGCAGTTTACAGTTGTCTGCTCATTAGTAGGGGCACAAAATTTTAAGACACGTAAAGTTCATTAAAAATTTTGAATCTCAGACTGAAGTAATAAATCACTTAAAAAATAGTTTATTGGTTTTAATCCACAATGCACATTAAAACAATTTTACACTATCAATGAACTATAAAATGCAACCTTTTAGAATAATGGGGATAAAAACTTTTACAGAAAGATCTTAATTATTACAATGGACTAGATATTCCTTGTTTACTGGAAAATTTTACAATTTGAATTGACCCAATTCATATGGAAAATACTTACGCTGACTGTTGGGTGCCAGTCTGTTGTATCAACTGAGAGTAAATATATTCATCAACTCTCTGTTTTGCCAAAGCTACCTGTTCACAAAATTCAAGCTTCAACAAAAAAACTGTAACAGCTTAAAACCAAGAAAAAGGTAGAAAGAGCAAGCGACAGTTTAATTCCATAGTAGGACTTGCATGCTATATAAAATATCGGATTAAATTACTATCTTGATCTGAGCTGATATCAATTTTTGTTTCGGGGAAGATCCCAGACCAGGAAAAAGGAGGCCATGGGCAAATAGAGAAGTTCCCATATTTTGAATTGTTTTGTCTGACGGGTAGCACAGACAGACCTTTCCAAAGTGTTCAGTGTTTCAACAAGGATTACTCATCAAGGACAGGACGAAGCCTAGCATCGTGTTGTTTTATCTCAAGAAGCTTCGACTGCACAACCAAAGATTATATCCAACGCCAAGCACTCTCCCTCCCCCCCAACTGATGACCAGTGCCACTGGATATCTCTCCCACTTTCACAAAAAGAAATAAACAATCCGTAGTATTTCATGGATGTAAGAGACTGGAAATATAGAATAGCTAACTGTGTGATTATTTTTATTCAATGAATGATGAATGATTCTTCTAAGATATACATCACTTGATGGGACCAGAACTAAAACCATGATGGGCTTGGCTACAGAAGTACAGGCAAAATTTGTACAAATTGGTTTAATAGTAGACTGTTGAATCTAAAATCATTTCCCACAGCTAGGGCAAAAAACTCCAAACCAGTGGCAAAGTGATAAAATCCACCAATCAAACTGATAAATAAAAAAAAAAGTGATAATAATAACAAAAACATGTCTCAAACATAAAAAGTATACTGTTCTTTCTTTCGAAACATTAAAAGGCAAAGATCACCTGTTGAGCACTACCACCAAATTGAATTTGTCTATGCTTTTGTTCACCCTTACCGCCATAAACCTGCACAACATTTTCCAATGAAAGATATAAATCAGATGCAAATTAGTTCCGGGAATTTATATAGAACAAAAAAACAATTTATGAACCACAATTTAATATACATTAAAATAACCCAAACTCCTAGATATTTCAAAAATATAAGTATCTTAACAAAATTTGACTTCTCAATATGTTGGAAACGGATCAAGTAAACAAGTACACAAACTACATGCTGTTCAATAAAAATTTAATGTAGTTGGAAATTCGAGGGTTTCCATACTAATTCAAGAAATGTAGAATGCTCAATTCTCTTGGTATTTTGGTAACTAATGTATTTGGTCAAGCTAATGAGAGATCCAAAAATCATTGTCTGACAAATAAGGTAAACCACAAAACTCAGGCCTGGCATCTATTTTGGTATCTTTGGCAATATCCAACAATTGTAAGTCTTCTGTAGTTCTATATGCAAATGTGAGATCCAGGGGTTCTGTTTTAATGCAGAGACTGGTATAATAACTAATAAACATGAATCAGAAAGTGAATTCTTTCGTAGGATGCTTCAAGATAGGAGGAAGTATAAGACTGACCTTGATCATTGCTCCAGATTCATTTCTGATCCTCGATATGTTTGAGCCACATCGGCCAATCAACCCACCAACCATCGTTTCCGAAATCAGCATCTCGAATGTAACATAATCAACTGCAAGATTGGTTGTCCTAGAGATGAAGTGATTGTAAGACAATATTCAAAACAGATATAACTATTAAATGGCAGTCAAATGTTGCTCTAATATAGAAAAACATTAAATAACCTGAAGTTGGGTCAAGATATGGTTGGGATGGTCGAATTGCAGCATAATTGTATGTTGGACTAATTGAAATCACTTGTCTTGGTGGGTTTTCCCTGTGCACAATTTGAGTTCATATATAGGTTAGGCAAAATGACAAACTAATTTTCAACAGTAATTAGAATCAGGTTCAAAATTAATATACAACAGAAGTTCACCAGCACACCTTAGTTGACAACCTATCTCGTCCAAAGCCTTCATTACCGAAGGAAGATCTCCTGATAACTAATTTCAACAAGAGTGAAGATTACAATCCAGGTTTCCAAAGTATTTTTGAAGCAGCATAAAAAAATGCATAATTCAATCCTCAAATCATCTTCATGCTACTTGATACATGTGAATAGAATTTAGAACTATGACTTAAACATGAACATATTAAAACCTGATACACAGAAGAGCAGGTCATTCAACATCATGCAAGCATTATCTTCGGAAAATTAATAACAAATAATAACATTCATATTATGTTGGTCCATCTGTAATCTTAACAGTACATGAAATTTCAAAGAACAAACTAAAATTCCTTGCCATCATGGTTAAAATATCCAAGTCAAAATATATGGTGAAGGCAAAGTGACACTGAGTCACTGATAAAAGTGTTCCCGAAAACCAAAATTCTTTGTTGCAAGAATTGATAAGCATTATTTTAGACATATCACCTGCACTACTCTGTCAGATTCGTGGGCAGAAGCACATAAAGGTAACTGATTTGGTGCAAGAACAGTAATCGAGGCACCGGAAGAGTCCCTCAATTTCTCAATGTTTTGACCAGACATCCCAATTAATCCACCTGCCTGGGACCCAGCAATCAAAAGTCTAATTGTATTGGCAGCCACATGTCCTGCTGCAACTTTTGACAAATCAAGACTGCTATCATCTTCCTGTTATATGGAAGCATTATCAGCGCCTCTCAATAGCATTGACAAAATGAAGTAAGACCCAACAGGGCTACATGAATATTAACATAATACATGATAATCTCAAAAGTGGAAAAAACTAAAGTGGCCAAATACGTATCAGAAGTACAGGATATGCAGGGCAAGACCCCTAACTGAGTTTATAATTATCAAGCATAACAACGTGTTTTAAATCATGATGCACGGATGCAGGACATGTATTGTTTTCAAAATAATACCATACAGGGGGGTGCAGCAATTTATACTAACGATATAGCATATAGGCATATACAGTGACAAGGTATATAAAAATATCATGTTACATTAACTCACTACAAAAATAAATGAATATTTGGCTTGGCGTGTTAAAGTATTTTACAGATAAAGCATTCAGTGTTCTTCTGTATATTTTGTTGAATACCTTCCAAGGATGCTCCAGAACAATGTTACATATTTCAACTTCTTTCTATGTGTTCAAACATCTGCAAAAATGTTCCAATTTTTTTCTAAAACTAAAAGGGATAGCGGCACGGGTAAATTCGAGTTACACAATTCAAGCCTTAGTAATTCAATTTTCAAAGCTAGACAAACAATAAACCATATTATTTTAAAATAAAAATTAAACAGCGCCCACCCTGGTTTTTATAATAAATTATGAAACACAATAAGAACATAATCAGCAATAAAAATCATAACAAAATTCAAAGCTCTAGTCAGATCAAGCATATTACAGAGAAAGCATGTGAGCCAAAAAATTCAATCAGGACCATCTTACCTTTAAAATTAAATGTGCTATTTGCTCAAGAGCTTTCTCTGCATCAGTAACCTTTTCATCATTATCCTTAGAACTAATAATGATAACTCGCTCTTCATGTCTCTGCCCGAAAGGAAAACATTAGATTGGATTTGGTAAAACACCAATTAACCTGAATAATGACTGAACATATTTATTTTAAATGCAAATTTAAGCACTTCAACCAATATACATTAACCCTCACTAATAATCGGCAAACCTGAATGAAGTTTATAGCATTTAACACAGCTGAAAATACAATGTTCAGATAAGATATGGATTTTTTTTTGGATCCTTGAAGGAAAGACTAGTGTGGGGAAAATAATTTACATATCACCTATGCCTTTAACATGGTGGTTTCTGCTGAAAATAATAAATAATAATACAAAAAGCACTTTCCCTTTTAGAATCGTGACAAAAACAGTTTTGACAAGAGCAAACAAAGGCCTGGCATCCCCGGCGAGAAATAATTGACAGTACTGTCAGGGTCAAACAAAGTCCTTACCAGAAAATGTAGAGTTATTCAGTATGCTATAATGCAATAAACAGACTTCAATTAACCACTGACAAAAAGATACTAAAAAAACAGCCGCGGGCAGCTGACTGTGGAGCTTGTGATTGACGCAAAGAACACAGTTGAGGGTAAAGAACACATCTAGGGGCAAGAGTCGATCAACTTTGAAATGCATAATTGTATTTACGAATTACAAGACTACAATATTTTTATATAAAAACTTGTGTTTGTACGTACGATAATTTTCTTAATAAAATAAGGAGGTGGGGCAAGGCCACACTTGCTCCCTTCATACCATCCCTAGTTGACTCTGCCTGCGTAATGCAGAGCTACAAAATCTCCATGGTTGTTGAATGACTTGTAAAACATGGAAACAATATTTATTTGGGTAACAGCTTTTTTTTATTCTTTTTATGTTTTCCTAAATATAAGAATAATTGTAAATATCTTTAAGAAATCTTAAAACTTAGAGAATTTTGATTTGGGACCTAATGTGTTTTTCTTCTACATGATTCCTGATTTATTGGGATTCATTTAGCTGGTACATTTATTGCTTTGAGTGATGACGTAGCATAAACTGACAAGTGACAGTGTAGCATAAAACAGACTATTATAGCAAGTGGTTGTGATTTGTTTTCTATCCAATATCCAATCCATTACATAACAGAAAATATATAATGAGAGACTAAAATATATTTCAATAAAATATAGTTTGAGTAGAATAAAAACTATAGGATTTAAAATAAAAATTGTAGTTTTTAAGTGAATAAAAACCATTGCAACCTTCCAATTTTATATGACCTTTCCAACAAGAGGAGTTGCACTAGCAATACACTACTGATGATAGAGTCACCAAAGAATTACTCGAGACCAAATTTCTAAACGGCAAGTTGATTGTGATGGTTATCAATGGCACAGTTAGAATGAGGGTTTGACTAGGATTTCTACCTTTTTTTTAAAACAGATCAGAGTACAGGATGCTATGAATAGGGCAAGATTTTTCATTGTTTTTCTAGTAGGAACAGTGACACTTTATAAAGATTCCGAACCAAGAAGGAGGAAAGGGTGAGGGTGAAGTGTATGTAACAGTTACATAGTAGTTATCATTTTGAAAATAAAACTCCAGTGCAATAATCATTATATCGTTGTAGGCTTTGCAGTCAAGAGTGGACATACATCAAATTTTAAAATACAAGGCAGCATCACACTTCAAACTTTCGTGAAAAGATTTGTAGCTGAGATATCAACTGCCTCAGATTACAATCCAACCAAAGGGTAGAATGTTTCATCCACACACCAAGCAACGCCCGTTTGTTACAACAACTGAATAGCAACTAAAAATGAAGAAGCAATTTCGCCTATCACAGTACCACTATCTTAATTCAGAAATTTAACTCCTAACAAGCTCCAAAAAAATTATATACTGAAAATACCTCTACCCAAAGTAGTCATCCCGTTTTTTTCTCTCAGCGTAGTAAATTTTTTCCGCATATCAATCAAGTTGAACATTCCAGCCCTTCCCTCCTACACTTTTGCAGTGAAATGCGTAAAAGGTCCGTCAATGGCAGTGTAATGGCTTTCCATACACACCCTAAATGGATGCCAGAAACAAAAAAAAAAAGCACTAATGTACCACAAACCCCAAATCAGATGCAAGAATTAGTGTATTGTTGTATTATTATAATACAACAATTCAATTCAGAAGAACAGTTTTGTTTTCTTTTTTACTCAAGCAGTTTCTCAGCCATCAAACATACACCATAAAATGAAAACATCAACAAGCCCCAAATAAAACACTAACAACTCATATAAACAAGTATTGTGGTATTCAATTAGTATTGTCAGGTTTTCAAAGGAGGGTAACAAAACTCTCTTTGTTGAAGACAGTATAGACTCTCTTAATAACTTCTATTGCGAAGAATGTTGTTTTCATGAGTTTTCAATTGACCCAATAAACTAATTGTAATCTTCAATATTACTATATAACAAAATATCCTAATTTTGTTCAAACTCAGGAACCGACACGAAAAGATGTTAAGGCATGTAGAGCAAGTATTGGTGAACGTTGAAAGCTAAAACCATTTAGCTATGAAAAAATGTATTGATTTTACTTTCTTCTCGAAAACTTTATATTTTCTTATCAACTATGGTAATTTCGAAACCATATAGTTCTACAGATATAAATCCATTAAAGTTCAAACTAAAAAAATCGTACACTGTCTATTAAAATCCACAAAACTCCTTAGTACAGAAATAGGCTATTAAAATTTCAATTCAACTCACTCTCGTAGATCAGTTCTACCGAATATGTGGATTTACATTTAAAACCCCAAAAGTGAAATCCCCTAATTTGTTGTCGCTCTATGCTACCACACAGATTGATTCAACGAGTGAACGAATAAAAGGACTTACGGCGATAGCGTCAGCGATTTTGATGGTTGCTTTGGTGTCTTCTCGAATCCTCTGTATGCGGCACCCCTCCTTCCCGATGACCTTGCCGATCTGGCGCGAGGGCACGACGATCCTGAATATAACGTCCTGTCCCTTGGCGCGCTTCGCCGCAGACTGCTCCGTCGCGGCAGCGGTTCCGGGAGCCTCGTCATCGCGACGGCGCTTACCGGAGGAGGCGGCAGCGTCGTGGATGGAGAAGGGAATCTGGAGCGGCATGGGGAGAGGCATCTGCATCTGCATGGGTAATGGCATGGGCATCTGCATCTGCATGTGCATGGGCATGGGAACCTGCATGGCAGCCATAGGGTTCTGCGGAGGAACCATGGGGTTTATCGGAATTTGACCTTGCTGCGACATCGCTGCTACTTCTTCTCTCGAAGAATCCAATAATCGGAGTAGGAAAGAGAAACAGCTTTTCTTGGGAAGCAAAATATAGGGTTTTGTTACATGAATTACCAAGTTACCCTTGGTTTAAGTTAGCATGAACAGCGTCGAGATAAACATTCTAAATTAAAAGTAGGTTTAACACCCTCTTGGTCTCCACTGGTTGTCTAATTTCAATTTTGTCCACATTTTTAAAAGTGTTTGGAATAAATTTGCCTCTAATTTATTCCTTCAGTTAAGTATCAACAAACGAAGTTAATATATTAATGATATAGTACTAGTTATGTAAAACGTGTCATTGTATTGATTTTGTAAATAATGACGTGTAAGGGAGTAACAAAGAATATGAACCCTATATTAAGTTAGGGTTTTATAATTTGGGGGAATCTGATTTTGGGCATAAATAAAACCAATTAGGGTCTTCTCCTTTGTGTTGCGAACACGGTATAGTGGGTGTTCTTCTTCAAATTTGTCTTGTTCTCTTTCTTTTATTATTCTTTAGCATTTGAATGTTAGTGTTGTCTGTTGGCAATAGAGTTGTGCTTCGTGTTTCGCGAGTTGGTGTTTCGTCGTTGACAGTTGGTTGGCGAAGTGGTTCGTGGTTCGTGGTTGTCTCGTTTTGGGGTTCCTTCTTGTGTCAATGTCTTTGAATCAAGGATGTTCGTCTTGCTCATGGGGGAGCTCTCGTGGTGGTACATCCAGAGGATTCCTTGGAAGGCAAATATGCCATTGTGGGAAGGTTGTTGTGTTGAGAGTGGCAAAAACAATTAAGAATGAGGGGAAGCAATTCTGGGGCTGCCCTAATTACAAAGTTTGTTGTTTAATTTTTGTGATAAATTGTTCTGGTTATTAATGAAATTTTAATGAAGTGAATACTTTAACAGCGGACAAGAAATGAAGAACTTAAAGGATGCAACTTCTTTAAATGGTGTATTGAAGATAATGTAGATGATGGTGGCAGTACTATTGTTAGACAAAGGAGGAAGATTAATAGCTTGGAGAAATCTGTGATGGGTTTTCAGAGAAAGGAGAAGATGTTGATTTGGATGCTATGTTTTATGGGGTTGATTAACATCATCCTTCTTTGTATTTTATTTAAAAGTCCATGATGTGTTGTAGTAGTCAATTATTGTGAAGAGCACTTTGGCCATATTGTAATATGATGTTTTCAAATCAATGAGAAATCTGAATTTGTGCATCTGAATTTATTGTTTAAATGTACATTTTGTTTGATATATAGAAGATAAAGTAACTGAACTTTAGATTGAAATGACAGTAAAATGAGAAAGTGATGTGTCATCCTCATTGAACGTCCAATAAATTTATGGATTGTGAATGTGCTCTGGACAAAAGCAACACCAAATCAAAAACTTTATTGTAATCACATAACATTTAGGTAAGTGACATGTAGTCCTCATTGACAAATATCAAGGTAAGTTACATTTAGTCCTTGTTGTCAAAGATGAGTACTTGTAACATGAGTATACATCACAACAAAGAAAAATGTCCTTGTAATCACATGCACATGGAATGAACATCATTAATAATGACATGATAATAATCATCCAATTTGGTATCACAGTTCTGAATAATCATCCAATTCTGAAATTGGAAATCAAATGCACATCCAAAAGAGAAATTGTCATTGAGATTCTGATTATAATCATCCAATTTGGTATCACAGCTTACAAAATACCCAATTCAAAATGAAGTTCAAACTACATGTCAATGTTTACAAAGGAGCCAATACTGGGCTGTACCAAACAAAAGCTAAACTTAAGTTAAACTTGTCAAAATACATCTTAGTGTTCTGAATAACTTTTAAAGTCCTGGTGTAGTTGGCTGGCTTGGTGGTTGCTGACTTGGTCCAGTAGTTGGCTGGCTTTCTTGTTCCTGACTTGATCCTGTAGTTGGCTGACTTTCAGGTTGCTGACTTGGTCCTGGACATTGTGGGCAAGTATTTCTTTTATGACCAACCTGTCTACATATGGAACATATCTTACGAGTTCCATTTTGCTTTAGCTGTGTGTCATCCTTCTTTAACTCCCAAGCCTCTAGCCTTCTCTTCTTTTTTGGTCTACCAGGTAACACCCTTTTAGGTGGAGGCAAGGATGAGAAGTCATTTCCCATAGGTGATGATCGTTGACAGGGTATATCATTGGAATGTATGTTTTTTGGTATGTTGCCCTTCTAAACCAATTTGAGATGTAGTCTTCTCCATTGATGTTCAAAAAATTCATGGCAGCTAGTGCATGCCAACATGGGATTCCTGTTAAAGTCCATTTTCTGCAACTGTATTCCACTTTATCTAAGTCAACCACATACTTCTCACCAATTATTGAAGTGTGTTTGACCTCAAAAATTTTCATACCTGACCAACTGCAACCAAACAGATTAAAATTAGTATTTGAACTAAAAATGTTAAAACATCATTATGAAGTCCAGATTCTGATGTGGTGATGTGCACATACCTAGGTATCCAAAATTTCGTCATGTGCAATTCCTTTTCAAATTACATATGTGTTGTCACTTTCAATAATGTTGTTCAAACTCTCAGATTCTCAATCACTTTTGGATAAACCCCTAGGTCCACCATTTTATACTTGGTTAATAGGTTCAAATATATCACATTCCACGTCATCTTCATCGTCATTCAAGACATCCTCTTCGGACCCATTCCAACTTGTAACATCATACTTATCAGCTTCTACATCAGCCTGACCCTGTCCCTCAACATCTTTACCCTCTACCTTAGCCACTCCCTCTACCTGAACTCGTACATCACCTTCTACATCACCCTCTACATCAGCCACTACCTCAACTTCAACTTCTACCTCACCTTCTACCACCTNCCACATACTTCTCACCAATTATTGAAGTGTGTTTGACCTCAAAAATTTTCATACCTGACCAACTGCAACCAAACAGATTAAAATTAGTATTTGAACTAAAAATGTTAAAACATCATTATGAAGTCCAGATTCTGATGTGGTGATGTGCACATACCTAGGTATCCAAAATTTCGTCATGTGCAATTCCTTTTCAAATTACATATGTGTTGTCACTTTCAATAATGTTGTTCAAACTCTCAGATTCTCAATCACTTTTGGATAAACCCCTAGGTCCACCATTTTATACTTGGTTAATAGGTTCAAATATATCACATTCCACGTCATCTTCATCGTCATTCAAGACATCCTCTTCGGACCCATTCCAACTTGTAACATCATACTTATCAGCTTCTACATCAGCCTGACCCTGTCCCTCAACATCTTTACCCTCTACCTTAGCCACTCCCTCTACCTGAACTCGTACATCACCTTCTACATCACCCTCTACATCAGCCACTACCTCAACTTCAACTTCTACCTCACCTTCTACCACCTTATCTACATCAGCAACTGCCTCAACATGAACTTCTACCTCATCTTCTACCACCTCTTCTACATCAGCCACTGCCTCAACTTGAACTTCTACCATCTTATCTACATCAGTCAGTGCCTCAACTTCAACTTCTATCTCAGCTTCTACTTCTACTTCAGCCTCTACCTCAGGCTCTACATGACACACTCCTCAACCTCTACTTCACCAACTGCTTGAACCTCTGCTTCACCCACTACCTGAACCTCAACTTCACCCACTACCTGAATCTCAGCTTCACCAACCTCTATCTCAACTTCCTTTTCAGCCCTCTCTATCTTAACTTCTGCTTCACCCGTATGTCTCTCAATTTCTGGTTGAGAAGAGTATTCCAACTCTACAAGATACTGAGACTCAGAGACCATGTGTACAACATAAATGTGAGTTTGACCACTCAACATAGCAATATTGACTACATGACATGCACCTTTTTCATCTGATAACAGTTCCAAACAATCTTCTAAAACAGGACCACGACTCAATGAATACCACAACTCCTTTACATTCCTATAACCCATCTCCTTAAGAATGTTTAATATTTCAAAATAACTCCAACGATCTGGATCAATTTTTAAAGTTATGGTTTGACCATAGTGGTATCTGAATGTCCCATTATTCTCAAATTTTTCCGCATGGTGAAAGACGATTTCAACGTCTGAGTTGGCCATCTAAACTAATATAAAAAATGTTTACAGTTAATCTATGCTTAACCCAAATGTTATCTACCCAAAAAAAAAGTAAAACAAAGCAAAAGAACAATTACAACAATAAACAAATTTTGTCCACACAACAATAGGGGGACCACAAGCAATATTGTTCATAGCACAGGCGCAGATAATGAGGGACAGTAAACAGACAAAGCATACACAGGTAACACCCTTTTATGGGGGGACCACAACGACGACAACAAAAGCTAAACTCAAAAGCTACCATAAACGCACCTTGGAATCGCGCTTTTTGTAATATCCACCAACATGATTTATGAAAATGCGAGTCCAAATCCAACGTACAACGATCTCTACATGATCTCTGTCTTCGCAATGTAGCCCAAGTGCGACAACAACTCTATCTTCTCTCGCAGAAATCCAATTGCCCTCAACTCGCATAAATGACCCCTAAATCACATTTCCCGCAAATTATAAAACCCTAACTTAATTAAAAATCATATTCTCTGTTACTCCCTTACACGTCATTATTCACAAAATCAATATAGTGACATGTTTCACATAACTGGTGCCACATCATTAATGCATTAACTCTGTTTGGTGATACTTAACGGAAGGGACACATTAGACGCAAATTTATCTAAGTGTGGACATATTCAAAACACTTTTAAAAATGGGGACATAATTGAGATTAAGTAACAAAAGTGGGGACAAAATTGAGATTAGGCAACGAAAGTGGAGACCAAAGAGGCTATTAAACCTTAAAAGTATTATTAAATAAAAGTGAAATCTAAAAAATCTATAAATTAAATTTTACTTTAGGTTTTTTATTTATTTTCCATATTGAAATTGGTTCCTTCATTTCTAAAAGTCCAATGCAATATTTAAGGAAACTGTTATGTTAGAAAAATAAATAAATTAACTGTTTTTGTATTTAATAAAAATATATAAATAC